CGAAATGGGCGAGCAAAACAACGTGCACAAAATACACAAATCGACGTTTCAGTCGGGGCCTTTCTCAACATGAATTTAACTCCACAACAATAACACAAGGGAGAGTACTCCAACCACCAGCGACCACTTGCAGGTCACGAGAGAAACTATAAAAAAGTGATACGTAATGAATAGAATAAATTAAAATAAAGAAAGCTCGAAAAATCGTTGTAAAGGTAATAGTGTAAATATATAATAATAGTAGGAATACAAGAAAAGCAGAATTTCAAATGGAAAAGATCCATAACTGGTGCTGACAAGAGAGAGAATAAAATCATTATATAAATAAAGACTTAAATATTTCATAAAAATGAGAAGAATCTGACATTCGCGAACTCTAATTTCGCTTTCTGTATGAATTACCATTGTGAGAACAAGCTTTGGCACGATAAGGTTGTTCAGTTACAAATATGACATTGCTCTCAAAAGAAGATCCTTGGGGACAAGGGTTAAACCTGACGCACTCAAAAGACGAACACGCAAAGCCAGATGTGATGAAACGATGTGTGATTCACAGGTCTAGAAGTTTGTAAGAGATGTACTTTGATGATCCGAATATTTTGTTAAGAGTGAAAAGGTTGATATGTCAAAGAAATTATGAAACACATTTGGAATATAATTATCGGAGAAAGAGAATGCGAGATGCAAAGAAACATTAATATTTATTCTTGGTTGGGTGAATATAGAGGTAATAATGAATTCCGGTATAATGTTTCTTGCATTAAAATGGCTGAATTCCTGGACAGCCGTGGACTTGAGTTGAGTTATGAGTTGTGAGTTAGATTATCTTCACAACACTCCGGACACATCCATAGGCGCTCAGATTCCCCTCTCAACATATTCATCGTGCGGTTAATAGTACCAGTCCTATGTTGGTTAACAAGACTTCGTGTGCGTCCGGTGTGCTTCTCATGCTTGGCTGGGCCGATCTTTACTCCCAATTTGCGTATTGTTAGCAGTGATGTGGACACGTTGCTTCCAAAATCCTCAGAACGTCCTATCTTTCTAAGGGCAATGACAATGTCTGCGTGATTCATGGGCCCAAAATCTGCAATTAATGCAGCACCTGCCAGTCTATCAGTTGTCTCATTACCAACAACGCCTGCATACCCATGGTACGAATATGAAAGTAGCTAACTGCACACACAGGAGAATTTTGCAATGACTCAAGCCACTGTCTGCGTAACCAGCCTGTCTCGACCCGCCGGATCATACTCAAAGAATCACTCAGCACACACACACGCGCGAGAATAATCTTAGATCCCGGCCACATGAAAGCCTGTGTTACCGTCCTCACCAGTGTTGCCACCTTTCTTTGACAAAAACCACCCAAAACGGAGTCCAAAAATATCTAAAAACATTTAAATTTGCGTGGAAAACATCTAGAAAAGACATCCAAATGGAAAGAGTCACAAATAGCAATTGATATGACATATCCTCTAGAATCATGTCCTCATTTTTACTGAAGTCTGCCTTACAAGATCCACAGGTTAAACTTAGCTTGGGTGATAAAGTTGAAGCTTCAGATCCAAAATGACTCTGGCATGCTTTAGCTGTTCCAATTTTTTTAAATACCCAATCAGGGAGCTGATAAATGGAACAGCCTTTTCCTACTCTTATCAGTCCGAATTTTATTGTCAAGATAGCATTTAGGAGGTCAAATTTCATCCTGTTTCTTAGGTGAGATTTGATAAAGTCAATTCAAATGGAAAACATTTAGAAAGACATCCACCACCTAAACGTCAAAAACGCCATCTAAATGCAAGGAAAAACATCTAAATGTGGATGTAAAACATCCAGAGTGACAATACTGGTCCTCACCGACTTCACCTCCTTCATCATGCTGCTGGTGGTTGTGGAGAAGGCACCGATGGCTTTCCGAAATGTTCCTCCTGAAGAGCGAGCTGTAAATGCCCATGACTTGAAAGATCTTTATCGAAGTATTACTTCTTTCATAATGTGTGTGTTAATTAAGTTTGTTAACCACTTCTCTTCTCCGCACACGTCTCATATTTATCGTGTTTCATTATTTGTTGTATTATTTTAAAAATGGTAACCACTGATCTTTTCAGCTTCGTGCTTCCGGGAGAAAAACAGGTGAGACATGGTTAAACCTGTTTTTCTAAGTTTGGGTTGATTGTTGAATTAGGAATCTATACCACATCACTGGAGACACTCAAATAAGCGCTTCATCCCCATCTTTAGCAGCAAACGAAGATTTCCAATTCCGATGACACCAGTAACTGTCTGATTGTATATCCGTCTTGCCTTTCCTTTGAGTGTTGAGCGTCGGCCCCATCCCCTGGTAACTCCCTGCAGCTTCATTCTCCTAAGACCGTACTGGTCACAGTTAGGTTGCAGCTAGGGTCTCTACCATTAAAAAAATGCCATTCGTGCATTGTGTACCACATGTGCGAGTAGGCTGTAGAGGGAGTGGCGTTGAACTCAAGGATTTTAGGCCACGTAGACCTTACTCTGGTTTTTGGACGGACATGGTTCTGATCACCTTTCATTCACTTCTGTGTTGATCGTCATCCGCCGACCACTCATCTTTTCCATACTGTCCACACGGATGACCTTATATTCATTTACATAATAATTTACACTGCTAGTCAATAGTTTTCGCAACTGAAGAACAACCCTACATACCAGTCTATTATCAACAGAAGAAGAGAATGATAAAATCAATCAGAATGCCACCGAAACTGGCACAAGACGATTACCATCTTATGGACAGACCAGAGCAAGTCATTATCCTTCGCCTTAGAACAGGGCACTATCGACTTCTCTACCACATGTACAACAAATTTAAGATTGGCTAATCAGCCATGTGTACCTGTGGACTGGCACCTGAGACAACAGATCACATCCTCCAAGACTGTCCCAGATTTAGTGCTTCCAGACAAAACGTCTGGCCTAAAGAGACACTTGTGGAAGTCAAACTTTACTTACAGCTTAGTGAATTACAAAAGACAGTGAAATTCATACTATAGACAGCATTGCAGATATAGATAATTTATTTCATGCGAAGGAAAGAAGAAGAAGAATAGTTTTCTTCTAGCAGTATCCTTTACATTATTCTTTACTTGATAGCAAACCGTCTAAAAGCAAGAGACTGCCTCCTTACACCTGACAACACCAGCCTATCTCAGAACACCAGACTACCTGACAACATCAGACCACATAAACACATTAATCTCAGACTACCTGACAACACTAGACTACCTCAATACACTATAATACTCACAACATCAGACTACCCCAGAGCAACAGACTACCTTAATACACCAGACTACCTCAATACACCAGACTACCTTAGAACACTAGACTACCTGACAATATCAGACCACATCACCACACCAATCTCAGACTACCTGACAACACTAGACTATCTCAGTACACCAGACAACATCTATACACCAGACTACCTCAATACGCCAGACTACCTCAATACACCAGACTACCTCAATACACCAGACTACCTCAATACACCAGACTACCTTAGAACACTAGACTACCTGACAACATCAGACCACATTCAGTACACCAGACTACCTCAGTACACCAGACTAACTCAATACACCAGACTACCTCAATACACCAGACTAACTCATTACACCAGACTACCTCAATACACCAGACTATCTCAAAACACCAGACTATCTCAATACACCAGACTACCTTAGAACACTAGACTACTTAAGTACCCAAGACTACCCCAATACACAAGACTAACTCAATACACAAGACTACCTCAATACACCAGACTACCCCAATGCACCAGACTACCTCAATATGCAAGACTACCTCAATATACAAGACTACCTCAGTACACCAGACTACCTCAGTACACGAGACTACCTCACTACACCAGAATATCTCAATACACCAGACTACATCAGTACACCAGACTAACCCATTACACCAGACTACCTCAATTCACCAGTTCTATCTCAGTACACAAGACTATCTCAGTACACAAGACTACCTCAATACACCAGACTACCCCAATACACCAGACTACCTCAATACACCAGACTACCTCTGTACCCAAGACTACCTCAATACACCAGACTAACCCAATACACCAGACTACCTCAGTACACAAGACTACCTCAGTACACAAGACTACCTTAGTACACCAGAATACCTCAGTACACGAGACTACCTCTGTACACCAAACTACCTCAGTACACAAGACTACCTCAATACACCAGACTACCTCAATACACCACACTACCTTAGAACACCAGACTATCTCAGTACACAAGACTACCTCAGTACACAAGACTACCTCAATGCACCAGACTACCTCAATACACAAGACTATCTCAATACACAAGACTACCTCAATACACCAGACTACCTTAGAGCACCAGACTACCTTAGAACACCAGACTATCTCAGTACACAAGACTACCTCAATACACCAGACTACTCCAATACACCAGACTACCTCAATTCACAAGACTACCTCAATACACCAGACTACCTCAATACACAAGAATACCTCAATACACCAAACTACCTCAGTACACAAGACTACCTCAGTACACCAGACTAACTCAATACACAAGACTACCTCAATACACCAGACTACCCCAATGCACCAGACTACCTCAATATGCAAGACTACCTCAATATACAAGACTACCTCAGTACACCAGACTACCTCAGTACACGAGACTACCTCACTACACCAGAATATCTCAATACACCAGACTACATCAGTACACCAGACTAACTCATTACACCAGACTACCTCAATTCACCAGTTCTATCTCAGTACACAAGACTATCTCAGTACACAAGACTACCTCAATACACCAGACTACCCCAATACACCAGACTACCTCAATACACCAGACTACCTCTGTACCCAAGACTACCTCAATACACCAGACTAACCCAATACACCAGACTACCTCAGTACACAAGACTACCTCAGTACACAAGACTACCTCAGTACACCAGACTACCTCAGTACACGAGACTACCTCTGTACACCAAACTACCTCAGTACACAAGACTACCTCAATACACCAGACTACCTCAATACACCACACTACCTTAGAACACCAGACTATCTCAGTACACAAGACTACCTCAATGCACCAGACTACCTCAATACACAAGACTATCTCAATACACAAGACTACCTCAATACACCAGACTACTTTAGAGCACCAGACTACCTTAGAACACCAGACTATCTCAGTACACAAGACTACCTCAATACACCAGACTACTCCAATACACCAGACTACCTCAATACACAAGACTACCTCAATACACCAGACTACCTCAATACACAAGAATACCTCAATACACCAAACTACCTCAGTACACAAGACTACCTCATTACACCATACTACCTCAATACACCAGACTATCTCAATACACAAGACTACCTCAGTACACAAGACTACCTCAATACACCAGACTACCTCAATACACAAGAATACCTCAATACACCAAACTACCTCAGTACACCAGACTAACTCATTACACCAGACTATCTCAATACACAAGACAACCTCAGTACACACGACTACCTCAATACACCAGACTACCTCAGTACACCAGACTACCTTATAACACCAGACTATCTCAGTACACAAGACTACGTCAGTACACCAGACTACCTGAATACACCAGAATACCTCAATACACAAGGCTATCTCAATACACCAAACTACCTCAGTACACAAGACTACCTCAGTACACCAGACTAACTTATTACACCAGACTACCTCAATACACCAGACTATCTCTGTACACAAGACTATCTCTGTACACAAGACTACCTCAATACAACAGACTACCTCAATACACAAGACTATCTCAATACACACGACTACCTCAATACACCAGACTACCTCAATACACCAGACTACCTTATAACACCAGACTATCTCAGTACACAAGACTACGTCAGTACACCAGACTACCTGAATACACCAGACTACCTCAATACACAAGACTATCTCAATACACCAAACTACCTCAGTACACAAGACTACCTCAGTACACCAGACTAACTTATTACACCAGACTACCTCAATACACCAGACTATCTCAGTACACAAGACTACCTCTGTACACAAGACTACCTCAATACACAAGACTACCTCAATACACAAGACTATCTCAATACACACGACTACCTCAATACACCAGACTACCTCAGTACACCAGACTACCTTATAACACCAGACTATCTCAGTACACAAGACTACGTCAGTACACCAGACTACCTGAATACATCAGAATATCTGAATACACAAGGCTATCTCAATACACCAAACTACCTCAGTACACAAGACTACCTCAGTACACCAGACTAACTTATTACACCAGACTACCTCAATACACCAGACTATCTCAGTACACAAGACTACCTCTGTACACAAGACTACCTCAATACACAAGACTACCTCAATAAACAAGACTACCTCAATATACAAGACTATCTCACAACACTAACGAAAAACAAACTTAATACACCAGACTACCTTAGAACACTAGACAACCTCATATTGCATCAGTATTAACATAGCTTGGATATAAAAATAGTTGAAGCATTGAAAAAAAAAAAAAAAAAACAGAATTTCAAAACAGAAATACAGAAAGGCACAGACAACAGTGGGGGAACAGCCATCATAGATAATTGAGAACATATAAGCATCACGAGAACATCAAGTTAAGTTAGTTTTTGAAGAAGTGCGGTACAGAGCACTCATGTAATTGTTAATAATCCTCGCTTCCTACTTTAAATATCATTTTTTTGTTTTTCTGCAACTTTCCTTTTTCTTTGTTTAAATTTCATTTCACCACATCTCTTTCTTTTTCCACTTTTCCGGCGTCCTTTCTTTTTTCGTTCCTGCACGACTTCCGCATTTTTGGAAATGTGGCTTATTTTAATTGTTGGAAACAAAAAATATGTGCTTGCCGTTCACCTTTTCTTCTTTAAGATTCATAGTCATTTTTTAAATTTATTTCCCTTCTACACAGAACTCGGCATGTAGTGAAATAATGTAGCAACGATTACTAAAATATTAAAGTCAATGGATAGTTGGGTTCAAGCAGGGCACGTTCTACAATGTCAAATGGAATAATGGGAAGGTTAGTTTCCCGCCATTATTCTAGCAGAGCAGACGTGACTGTTCTTCGCAATTTTTTTTTTTTTCTCTTCAAAGAATTCAGAAGAGCAGGAAAGAAACAATACTGATGGAAGAACGGTACTTTCAGAAATGGAGATTGTGAAAAGAAGAAAAAAAACATCGTTATTTCGTCCTTCTTGTTTTCTTTGCCAACTTTCAAATTTCAAGTTGAATATCTTTAATGAAAACAGCATTCATTCTGAGCTTGTTGACATCTCAGTCGAAATGCGAAACACACACAATACTAGAGAGAGAGAGAGAGAGAGAGAGAGAGAGAGAGAGAGAGAGAGAGAGAGAGAGAGAGAGAGAGAGAGAGAGAGAGAGAGAGAGGGAACGAGAATGAGAGAGAGGGAACGAGAATGAGAGAATGAGAGAGAGAGAGAGAGAGAGAGAGAGAGAGAGAGAGAGAGAGAGAGAGAGAGAGAGAGAGAGAGAGAGAGAGGGCCTAATGAAATAAATTGAGTAAAGATAGGAAACAAAAATTCAGTAGAATGAAATAAAGTAAAGATATGCATAGACATAATGTTAAATAAAGTAAAGAAAGGAATCAATAGAATACTTAAAAAAAAAAGACAAAGGAAAGAAATAGACACACACACACACACACACACACACACACATTTACACACAGAGAAAAGAAAGAAGACACTAAAGTAGAACTAGAAAAAAGAAGAAAAAGATAGATAAATAATAGACAGAATAAGGAAAGAAAGAAAGAAAGAAAGAAAGAAAGAAAGAAAGAAAGAAAGAAAGAAAGAAAGAAAGAAAGAAAGAAAGAAAGAAAGAAAGAAAGAAAGAAAGAAAGAAAGAAAGAAAGAAAGAAAGAAAGAAAGAAAGAAAGAAAGAAAGAAAGAAAGGTAAAAGCAAAAATAAAAAAAAAAAAAGGCAAGACAAAGAAAGCAGAGGGGGAAAAAACGATCACATTCATCATTCAAACGATCATTGACTGAGTGGTAAAAGGCTGACATGTGACCATCCTGGTTAGAAAGCGACGAGTGGCTGACAGATGGACATTCGATGTGTAGTTCTGTGGAGTCGGTCGTTTTCCTCCAAGTGCTTGTGTGAGTGTTTCAGGGATATAATCATGCATGCACGCCAACATAGAGTAAAGAAAATCCCAGAGGGCAGGGTGAAGGCGGGGTGACATCATAGTGAGGTCTGAATCATACATATGTCTAGTCATGTTAAAAAAGGAGGGAGGGGGTATGAGTCCTCAAGTGACTGAATCCTAGTTTCAGAGTATATACGTAACACCAGTATGCCCGTTAGTGAGCAAATATGTTAACATATTTGAAGTCAAATAATAAGTATATACACATATTTTTAAAGAGAATTTATATGCATGATTAATAGAGCTGCTCCAGTGCCTACACAGTTAATGTTGGCTTGGAGGGATGGGAGTGGGGGGGGGGGGCACCTTTTCGGATCCCCTCTGAATATGTTTTTTGTCTTAAGTGGTCTAAACTCCCAGATGCCCTTCTCCGTGTCATGTGCTAGATTGTCTCTGGTTTGTAATACATAGAATTTAAGACGGTTAACGTAATCTGGTTCCTTTATTCCACTCCTAGATGTGAAGTCATGCCTAATTTTGGTAGCAATGTGGTTATTAAAGATGGAAGAAGTAATTTAAATGTGAAAATAAAAATACATAAGGCAAGAGAGGCTTTCATATAACTAGAAAATGTGTGTAGGTCAAAAGAAATTTAAACTTATACAAAACTTACAAGTATTATCTTTATTGTCAAATCGTTACTGCTGTATGAAACTTTGGGAAAGTAGTAAACAAGTCCCAGTGGACCATGCGGTGAGGAAAAGACGCTGGCGTTGTGGGTAGTACACACGTTGAGAAATCCTGAAAACAACACATCTATAATGTGTTTGCACTGGAGCCCACATAGAAGTAAAAATAACAGGGAGTAAGAGAGTGAAGTTATAAAGATAGAGAGAACATGGGGTGAGTTGCATGCAATAGCGAAAGATAGAGTAACTTGCCGTAAGTTGGTTGAACGTATTGGCTCTACTGGAGAGTTAAAAAGGCAGAAAAAGAAGATGGAGAAGAAGAAGAAGAAGAAGAAGAAGAAGAAGAAGAAGAAGAAGAAGAAGAAGAAGAAGAAGAAGAAGAAGAAGAAGAAGAAGAAGAAGAAGAAGAAGAAGAAAGAGAAGAAAGAAGAAGAAGAAGAAGAAGAAGAAGAAGAAGAAGAAGAAGAAGAAGAAGAAGAAGAAGAAGAAGAAGAAGAAGAAGAAGAAGAAGAAGAAGAAGAAGAACGAATGATAAAGTAATTGCAGTTCCCCAACTTCACGTCAAACACGTCAGCCTATAATTACTCGGTTCCTGTGCCAGGGAAAAATCACACTGATTCACGCTGCATCGCAGTCCCTTGTGAGAAAAAAACAAATACAGACTGCAGTCTCGGTAGAGCTAGCAGCATACGCACACACATTCAATGCATAAAAAAGTCGTCAAAAGTGCCAACACAAATATATTTAAAAAAAAATCTTATTAACCTACAGCACAGAATAATAATCATCATCATCATCAGGTGCCTGGCCGACTGACGTGGGCGATCATGCCTCTCCATAATCCGCGATCTCCTGCAGCATGTATCAGTTCGTGTGCCGACACACCTCCATGCCATGCAACAAGACTGTCAAGCATCTTCTCTCGTTGTCTTCCTCTATCCCTCCTTCCACAGATCTTTCCAGTGGTCACAACATGTTCTATTTTCCCTCTTCTCATAACATGGCCGAAAAATGATGACTGTCTCCCTCTGATGTCAGTGATAAGTTGTCTTCGGTCTCCCGCCTCTTTCAAAACCTCTTGGTTGCTCTTTTACAGAATAATACACAAGCATTTAAAATAAAATTCAAAGCTTACAATGTCGCGTCCTGTGCTAAACTCAGCTGTCTGTCGAAAGAACGTTATACTTTCAGTCCACCAGTGGGAAAAATTGCAACAGATAACCGAGGTCAGAAGCAAATAACTTGCCAATAATAAAAATGACAGTCTGTCTACCCGCCATATTGGACCACTTCCTTTAACAAATAAAGTAACCAGCATTAAACAGATGGGAAATAAATGGACTGTGAGTCTAATTATCCTGCCTGTCAAGCCATTGAAAAGTTGAATTCAGTAATGTAAGTTACATTAACAAGTTGAAAGCAAAAAGGCGCCATCGGTTTGGCATTGAATATGCTACCTCATACATAGGGAGCTTTCCTGATACAAGACGGCCTAGCGTTTCGCGTAATGCATTATGTACAACAAATAACATTTAACATTTTCTCCCTGGAGTAAAGCTGTAATAGAATTGGTTTGCGAGTAAGCCGGCGGGAGACAAAGCATCCTCTTAACGCGGTGAGAAAATTTAGTGCAATGCTTTCCCAGCTTTTCAGTTTTCTTCAACTGTTTCAGTGAAACAGGGGTCGCAAAGAGCAGATAGTGTTAAATTTCATTACTTTTGTGTGTGTGCGTGTGTGAATAAACGCAAATAACAAAGAAGTTCAAGTGCTCTACTGATCGTTAGAAAATGTAACACTAAGAACTATCGAGCGATGGCCGTCCTAAAATGGCCGACAACTCTTGGGATTTGCCACTTCCGTTTTGAGACCCCGCGGAAATCAAAACATGGCTTCGATATAAAGCAAGTTTGTCTCCGTGCTTTCCTCTCAAGACATGCTGCCCAGATTGCAACCATGGCAAGTCCTGCTTCGGGTATCATTTGATAACGATTTTTGTTTCTATCCCATTTGGTGTGCTTGTTTGAAAATTCAACTTCCTTATCGATTCAAATGGACTTTATTTACTGGGCGTGAACTGGGGAAATAATTACTGCCCTAAACGGAAGTGTGAATTAGAAGTTCACGACCCCGGTACTAAATAAGTAGAATCTCTAGCATTAGGCTTCAGCTATGGGATCAATAGTAAATCTCGGAGTAATTGGCGCGTAATTTCTGAAGTACATCGATAGCTGAGAATGCTAGCGGCTACTGAAACGACATGGGAAATACTCGTATTCTCATTGCGTTTCGTAGTCTTGTATTGACATAAACAAGTATATGTATGTATTCATCATTATCATCACCATCTTATTCGT